CCATGTGCTGCTGAGAAGAAGTGTATCCACTTGATGATGGTTGATATATTCTATATATGTTGGTTAAGTCTAGGTTATTGATTGTGCTATTGAGTTCTATAGTTTCTTTATTCAGCTTTTGTCTAGAGGATCTGTCTAATGGCAAGAGCGGTGTGTTGAAGTCACCCATAATTATTGTGTTGTGATCTATTTGACTCTTGAACTTGAGGAGAGTTTGTTTTATGAACATTGTAGCACCATTGTTTGGTGCATACAGATTGATAATTGTTATGTCTTGTTGGTGGATGGTTCCTTTTAACAGTATATAGTGTCCTTCTTTATCCCTTTTGATTAACTTAGGTTTGAAGTTGATTTTATTCAATATGAGTATGGCCACTCCTGCTTGCTTTCAAGTGCCATGTGAGTGGTATGATTTTTCCCAACCTTTCACCTTCAGCCTATGTATGTCTTTTCCTATCATATGAGTCTTCTGGATTTGTTTTTTTGATCCAGATTACTAGCCTATGTCTCTTGATATTAGGCCATTAACATTTAAGGTTACAATTGAAAAATGGTTTGTATTTCCAGTCTTGTTTATTTATTTATTTATTTATTTTAGTTTGGCTAATTTTTACTCTTTGGTTATTTTACTCCCCCTTTACTGAGATACCTCCCGCTGTTAGTTTTGGGCGCTGTTTTTTAATTCCTCTTCTTGTAGTATTTTGCTCAAAATGCTTTGCAATGCTGGTTTTCTGGCTGCGAATTCTTTTAGCTTTTGTTTATTGTGAAATATTTTAATTTCATTGTCAAATCTGAAGCTTAATTTTGCTGGATACAGTATTCTTGGTTGGAATCCATTATTTTTCAGCGTTTGAAATACATTGTTCCAGGATCTTCTTGCTTTCAAAGTCTGTGATAAAAAATCAGTCGTTAACCTAATTGGTTCACCCCTGAATATAATCTGCCTCCTTTCTATCATAGCTTTTAATATTCTCTCCTTGTTCTGTATGTTGGCTATCTTCATAATTATATGTCTTGGAGTTGGTCTATTACGGTTTTGAATGTTTGGGGTCCTGTAGGCTTCCAGGATTTGGCAATCCATTCCATCTTTTATCTCTGGGAAGTTTTCTAGAATTATTTCATTTAATAGGTTGTCCATTCCTTTAGTTTGAACCTCTATGTCTTCTTCTATCCCGATGACTCTCAAATTTGGTTTTTTTATGACATCCCATATCTCTTGAATTGATTGCTCATGGGATTTAAGCATCTTTTCTGTGTTGACTCTATTCTTTTCAAGTTGATAAACTTTGTCTTCATTATCTGATGTTCTGACTTCTATTTGATCTAGTCTATTTGTAATATTCTCCTTTGAGTTTTTTATTTGGTTTATAGTTTCCTGCATTTCTAGGATTACTGTTTGATTTTTTTTTAAGATCTCTATCTCCTGGTAAAGCTCGTTCTTTGCCATTTGAATTTGTTTGTTTAATTCATTTTCAAAATATACTTTCATTGCTTGGACTTGCTCTCTGGTGTCTTCTCTAATATTCCGTTCCATCTGAGTTAGGTATGCCTTGAGTTCTTTCCCTATCCATTATTTCTGATGCTTCTAGGTCCTCCTGTAGATTTAAGTTGTCCAGCATTGTTTGTAATCCTTTTTTCCCTTGTTTTTTCATGTTGTTCATGTTACTTTCCAGCTCTGTTTGATTGCTGTGTTTCTGTTCTCTCCTATAAATTTGTTTTGGTTTTGTATATCTCTGTTGTCTTTCCTTTGTGGTGGTAGACTATGCCTGCTAAAGTGGATTCTGCTGGGAAGGAGTTCCGAGGGCCGAACTCCGGTGATGTCACCTCTCTGCTATGGCGGGCCCTGGGCTCCTTGCTGGGGTGTCTGAAGGGAGGGGTGGGACTGGTCTGTCTCTGGTTGGTTTCAGCTCCCGGTTAGCTACTTCATGAAGGCCTGGCTATAGACATCTTCCTAGAGTCTCTGCGCCGTACCTACTGAGCCGCACCTCGGGGTCTAGCCATGCGGTTGCCGGCGTGCGGGCGGTCTCCAGCCGCCCAGTCACGGGGGCCGCGGGCAGTCTCTAACCGCCCAGTCATGTGGGTAGGGGACAGGCAGTCGCTGGCAGGCGGTCTCTAGCCACCCAGTTGCGGGGGCAGCGGGCGTGTGGTCGCCGGCGGGCGGGCGATCTCCAGCCACCCAGTCCCGCGGGTGGTCGCCAGCTGGCGGGCAGTCTCCAGCTGCCCAGTTGCGCGGGCAGCGGGCTGGTGGTTGCTGGCCGGCGGGCGGTCTCCAGCTGCCCAGTCGCGCGGGCAGCGGGCATGCTGTCGCAGGCGGGCGGGCGATCTCTAGCCGCCCATTCGCGAGGGCCTGGCCTCATCCCCTGGCTTCTCCTGCTAACCCTGGTTTCTCCTGCTAGCCCGGCCTTCCCCTGTGTGATGCCTCTCAGCAGTTCAAAGTGTCCTCTGGGCCTGCAGTTTGCTGGGTGTGGAGGGTGGCTATTGGAAACCACAGCACCCTATTGTTTTGATTTTTTCCGCTTGCCCCTCCCTCAGCGCTGGCTAGACAGGTTTTGTTTTCGCCGCTGATGGGAGGGGGAGTTGAAGGTGAGGTGTCTCTACCTTTCCCCGTGTCTCTATGCAGGCTCGTTCTGATAATCCCTCCCCCGGAAAGCCTGGGAGAGATTTTATGTGAATTCCCCACTGTATGGGAGGTGGGCTGAGGAACACACACCTGTTTTATTGTTGCAATCTGTCGGAGAGTGGCAGTGATGACGTCAGCTCTCCAAGATGGTGGCCGCTGGCTTCCTTGGTGGACTTTCCATTGTGGGAGATAGAACTGGACCGCTTCCTTCCCTGTCTCAAATCCTGAACTCAGTCCGAAGCTCAGTGAGGGCACAGCCGGCAGGATTCCACAGGATCCATAGCAGTGTTTCTCTCTGCTTGCTGGTCGCTTCTTGGGGGCGCCCCGCCATCTGTAGCCACGGGGCGGGCTGCGCGACAGGCGTCAGATCAGTCAGCCTGGAACTCCAGTCGCACAGTTGGCTCATGTTAGAGATTCAATAACCAGTCCTCGGTGCTGGAAATCCTTCCTCTAGGTTTCGGTGGACCCCTATTTTGCTGTAAATTCCTAACAAGATAGCTTTTTGTTGCTCTAACTCGTTATTCACCTGCACAGTGACGCGGTACACGGGGTGTGATGCACTCTATTCACGGCCATCTTAGAGTCTTGAATTTTTGTATTTTAAAAGATAAGTTCTGTGTTGCTTATTTACTAAATCCCTCCATTTATGTTCAATCTCTGTTACCATGTAATCTGTCAAAGAAAGGGAGATTTTATACTTTTTTACATACTGACTCTTTTTTAGCACTTTTGAGGGATTATTCTGCTTCATTTGGCACTTTAAGGTTCGGATGTGGTAACTGATATTCTTAAAAAATTAGGAAAAATGGAGAAAAAGAGTGTAATCCAAGAATTTACATGAATCAACAAGGGTAAATTTTGGGTCATGGATAGTAAAATGAAAGTCTTTTGGGCACATGCCTATATTCACAGCTATTCTTGAGGTGAGTCAGGAGAATCACAAGCATAAGGTCAGCCTTGTCTAACAGGCAACCTAGAGAGGCTCCCCCTCCCTTTTCTTTATTTTTATTTGGTACTGGGGATTGAATCCAGGGCCACTTAAAACTGAACCACATCCCCAGCCTTTTTTATATTTTTATTTTTTATTTTGAGACAGTGTCTCACTAAGTTGCCTAAGGCCTCATCAAGTTGCTGAGCCTGGCTTTGAACTTGAGATTCTTCTGCCTCAGCATCCCAAATTGCTGGGATTATAGGCATGTGCCACCATGCCCAGCGAGATCTTGTCTTTAAAAAACAAAAAAGTGGTTTTTTTGGATAATACACTCATAAGTCACAGCAAATATTAAATAAAAAATAACCACACTTTGGGATCAGCCAACTATATATAACCATAAATATATAATAAAAAAAAGAAAGTAAATAACCATACTGAGAATTATGTCCAGCTCTTTCTCTGTCTACCCAGTTAGACATTGTCTAAGTCCATTTGTGATGATATAACAGAATACCACAGACTGGGGAATTTTTAAAGAACAGAAATTTATTTCCTCATAGTTTTGAAGGCTTGGAAGTCCCAGATCAAGGGACCAACGACTGGTATCTGGTGAGGGTCTTCTTGCTTCATGGAAGGAAGGTAAAAGACAAGAGAGGGACGAACTCTGTGTCTGCACATGACAGAAGAGCAGAGAGAACCTATTCCCATGAGGCCTTTTTATAGCTGCATTAATCTATTTATGAGAGCTGAGCCCTCATGACCTAAACACCTCTCATTAGGCTGTACCTCCCAATGCTATTGGCATCAGGGATTAAGTTTCCAACACACGTAGTGTTAGAGGGGACAAAAGCATTCAAACTGTAATTGCAAAAGTGGATTTTTGCATCAGATCCCTGTGAAAATTTTGTGGAAAAAACAACATTGACTAGAAATATAGACAGAGCAAAAAAGAAATTGCCTTCCTCTTGTCCTTTTCAAGACAGTGTACAACTTGTTTTTAATCACCAGATTCTCCCACTGATGCACTGTTAGGAGCAGCTGCATCCCACTTTTGTCAGTCTGACTCTGATTGATGAGAAAGATGCCAGTGATGCTTTCATCTAGTTCTTTAGGGGAAACAGTGTGAGTGGAATCTGGTCACTGTCAGCGAAGGTGGATGCATTTTTTTGTGAAGATTTCTCTTGACATCACTTAGGCAAAGCAATATTTTTTTCCTTCCTATATCACAGTGTAGGATCCTGGCTTGGTATTTGACTAATGGACTCTTTCAAAGATAATTTAAATGCAGCTTAGAGGGCTAGGGATGTAGCGCAATCAATAGAGTGCTTGCCTGGCCCTGTGTTTGTTTCCCACTATTACAAAATGAATGAATGAAGCTTGCTATGGACAATTGAAACACTCCATAAGCTTAAAGCCTTTGACCAGTACATGTTCTTTCTTGCGCAGAGCACCAGCCTCCTTATATCATCGCAGTGTTGCCTCGATATGTGGAGATCCGAACTTTTGAACCAAGGCTTCTCGTCCAGAGCATTGAATTGCAGAGGCCCCGTTTCATTACCTCAGGAGGGTAAGGAATTTCTTTACTGTTGTTGCCATATTATGCCAAAGCTTTAAAGTCACCTGTGTCATCATAAAGCCTATGCTCTGTTACCATATTCTTAAACTCCTGCTTCCAGATCAAACATTATCTATGTGGCCAGCAATCATTTTGTTTGGAGACTCATTCCTGTCCCTATGGCAACTCAAATCCAACAGCTTCTCCAGGACAAGCAGTTTGAATTGGCTCTGCAGCTCGCAGTAAGTCTTGCTCTTAATATTGGGGTATGAGTCTGCCTTCCTCGTTGTTCTTAAAATTAGGTGAATTTGATGTTCATATTTAGTTTGGACTACTACAATAAGTACAGAGGTGAAAGTCAGAGACCTTCAATCCAGGGTTTGACTTGTGCTTAAAATAACTATGTAATTCTTAAGTGATTTTACTTTTTCAATAATAATAATAGGATCAATGTGAATAATAATAATAGTATCTTATAGAATTAAAGACCGCTGAGGTGCACAAAAAATGCATCCACCTTTGCTGACAGTGGTAGAGTGATTGCCTGGCAAATGCAAGGCCCTGGTTTAGATTCTCAACACTGAGGGGGGAAAAAAAGGAAGAAAGGAAGCATGGAAAGAAAAATTTTAGAAAATACAAACATTGCAGTGTAGTAACAGTCGTTAATTTGATATGACAGTCTCAATGAATACAGCAACTAAAGTTGCTGAGGCTGGCTTCGAACTTGAGGTTCTCCCCTCACCTCAAAATTCCTTTCAACAGTGAACTCCTGTGTTTATATAAGTAGGCCTTCTTTAAGTATTCTGAAACTACTTCAAGTTATTGTCAACCAGGCTATATCTTTTATTTACAATTATTACTTGATTAATATCATTACGGTAATATAATCATTATCACTGTAGCAAAATAATAAACATAGGATACTTATGAAGAAAAAAAAGTTTATTTAACTCACAGTCTGGGAAATTCAAAGTCTAAATGGCATAGTGAAGGTTCTAGTGAGTGTTTTCCATTGATTGTACCTCCTTCTGGTGTGGATAACGATGAAAGGAGTCCATGCAGGAGCAAGCAATTATACCTCAAGCCAAGAGGGTCCAGGCTTGCTCCTTTTATAACAACCCTGTCTTAAGAGCTACCAAGAGATTGCATGAGAAATATCTCATACCCCTAGTGACCCACAGAACCTCCTAGCAGTCCCCACCTTTTAAAGGGACACACCATTTCCCAGTGCTACTATCCTAGGGACCAAGTTTCCAAAATTCAAACTTCTGATGAGATACATAATTCAAACCAAAGCAGCTACTCTCCTGTATGTTGTGGGAGGTTGTTGACAGCAAGGCAGTGACCGTACCAATGATACTTCTATTGCCAAAAACCATTTTGGAAATAATTTCAGAGTCTGTGTCTTATTCTTTTAAACATCCTCATAATTGTCTTATGTAGATAATGGTGATTGTCATCTATAGTGGGTAGACTTGATTTCAAGAAACAACTAAAAGTCATTCTGAGCCAAATCTAGTTATTAAATTGGACAGTACTAATTTAAAGAAATTTTGATGAAAATATAGTAATAGAATTTAATCTCTAGAATATCTTATAAACTGTTGCTAAATGGAAAGCAGTGTCCACTTTTTAAAAATTAGATTTTTTTAAACTTTATTTTCATGTTTTTAGTTGTAGTTGGACACAATATCTTTATTTTATTTATTAATTTTTTATGTGGTGCTGAGGATCGAACCCAGCGCCTCACATATGTTAGGTGAGCATTCTACCACTGAGCCACAACCCCAGCCCCCCAAAATTACATATGTTTTAATCACTTATGGTGGCTACTTTTTTTTTAATATTTATTTTTTAGTTGTAGGTGGACACACAATATTTTTAGTTTATTTTTATGTGGTGCTGAGGCACTTTCTAGGCAAGCACTCTACCACTGAGCCACAATCCTAGCCCAATGGTGGCTACTTTTAAAGAGCAACAGTTATTTTGTATGTGTAAATTCTGGATTTAAAATAGAAACTCAGTCTTAAGACTGGTACAGGCATGTACCACCCTGTCTGGTTGCC